CTGCAAGGGGCCAAAGGGTTGCGGCAGTGGTGGCGGGGGCGCGAATTATGGAGGAAAGGTCCGAACAGGTCGCCGCGCCACGCCGGGGAGTTACGCGACGGGCAAGGCAGGATGCAAGACAGGGGGCGGCAGGAGTTGCGGCGGCGGATGCAATGGAGGGCGCGGCGGAAAGGGAGGCCGCGTGCCTCGCCGCGACAGGGGGCGCTTCAAATTCCCAGGCCCAAGGGCGCATTGCCGCCAACTGCCCCTGTGGGGCGACATGCGAGGTCGACAAACCCGAGACTGGATGGCAAGAAGCCGAACAGGTTACCCCGCTGGGGCAGCCGCTGCCGGGCGCGTGGTCAATCGAGGCCACCGTTTTACTTCGCGCGCGGAATCTGCCCGAGCGCGCCGCTGAGAAGGCCGACCGACGCGCGGCAGTTCACGCGAGGCAGGCCTCCAAACGGTTCGTGGCCAAATAGGGGGCTCCACCGAACGCCCTGGTGGCGGCGCCCGCGTGCGTCCCGGCCGCCCCTTTCTGCGTGCCCATCGCGCGGTTCGTGGCTCCATAGGGGGCTCCGCCGAAGGCCCCAGTGGCGGTGTCCACATGCGTCCCCGTCACCCCTTTCGGCGCACCCCTCACACGGTTCGTGGCCCCATAGGGGGCTGCGCCGAAGGCCTCAGTGGCGGTGCCCACATGCGTCCCCGCCACCGATTTCGGCACGCTGTTCACGCGTTTCGTGGCCCCATAGGGAGCTTCACCGAAGGCCCCAGTGGCGGTGTCCACATGCGTCCCGGCCACCAATTTCGGCGCACCCCTCGCGCGGTTTGTGGCCCCATGAGGAGCTGCGCCGGAGGCCTCAGTGGCGGTGTCCACGTGCGCCCCCGCCCCAATTTCGGCGCGCCCCTCGCGCGTTTCGTGGTCGGGAGTTTCTTTATATAGAAGGAGGAGCACGCGCCTGTGTCCCCCCTTGACCGCGCCTCCCCCGGCCGCGGAGCGCGGGGGGGGCGACCGGGGCGGGCGTGAGAGGTTGAACCGAGCGGCTTCGCCTCCCGCTCGCATTCTCGCCCAGGGAGCCCTCTCAGGGCCTTCTCGGGGGGGGTGTCTCAGGCGAGGGCGCCGGGTTGGGATTCTGCGCCAGAGCATGCCTGAGCATGCCTGAGCATGCCAGTGTCGCCGGAAACGGAGCAGGGAGCCCTCCCAGGGCCTTCTCGGGGAGGCCCTGGAGGCCGATTTTGCGAGGGTGCTGTCTCAGGCGAGGGCGCCGGTTTGGGATTCTGCGCCAGAGCATGCCGGATCATGCCTGCATGCCGGCGTCGCCAGAAACGGAACAGGGAGCCCTCTCAGGGCCTTCTTGGGGAGGCCCTGGATTTGGCGAGTATGTTGTCTCAGGCGAGGGCGCTGGTTTGGGATTCTGCGCCAGAGCATGCAGAGCATGCCGGAGCCATGGCATGCCGGCGTCGCCGGAAGCAGGGGGCCCTCTCAGGGCCATCTCGGGGAGGCCCTGGAGGCCGATTTTGCGAGGATGTCTCAGGCGAGGGCGCCAGTTTGGGATTCTGCGCCAGAGCGTGCCGGAGCATGCCAGAGCATGCCGGCGTCGCCGGAAACGGAACGGGGAGCTCTCTCAGGGCCTTCTCGGGGAGGCCCTGAAGGCTGATTTTGCGAGGATGTCTCAGGCGAGGGCGCCGGTTTGGGATTCTACGTCGGAGCGTGCCAGAGCATGCCGGCGTCGCCGGAAATGGGGCAGGGAGCCCTCTCAGGGCCTTCTCAGGGAGGCCCTGAGGGCCGATTTCGCGAGGATGTCTCAGGCGAGGGCGCCGGTTTGGGATTCTGCGCCGGAGCATGCCGGAGCATGCCGGCGTCGCCGGAAACGCAACAGGGAGCCCTCAGGGCCTTCTCGGGGAGGCCCAGGAGGCCGATTTTGCGAGGATGTCTCAGGCGAGGGCGCCGGTTTGGGATTCTGCGCCAGAGCATGCCGGAGCCGGAGCATGCCGGCGTCGCCCGAAGCAGGGTGCCCTCTCAGGGCCTTCTCGGGGAGGCCCTGGAGGCCGATTTTGCGAGGATGTCGCGGGCGAGGGCGCCGATTTGGGATTCTGCGCCAGAGCGTGCCGGAGCATGCCGGAGCATGCCGGCGTCGCCGGAAACGGAATAGGGAGCCCTCTCAGGGCCTTCTCGGGGAGGCCCTGAAGGCCGATTTCGCGAGGATGTCTCAGGCGAGGGCGCCGGTTTGGGATTCTGCGCCAGAGCATGCCGGAGCCGGGGCATGCCGGCGTCGCCGGGAGCAGGGGGCCCTCTCAGGGCCTTCTCGGGGAGGCCCTGGAGGCCGATTTTGCAAGGATGTCTCAGGCGAGGGCGCCAGTTTGGGATTCTGCGCCAGAGCGTGCCGGAGCATGCCAGAGCATGCCGGCGTCGCCGGAAACTGAACAGGGAGCCCTCTCAGGGCCTTCTCGGAGAAGCCCTGGAGGCCGATTTTGCGAGGATGTCTCAGGCGAGGGCGCCAGTTTGGGACTCTGCGCCAGAGCATGCCGGAGCATGGGGCATGCTGGCGTCGCCGGAAACGGAACAGTGGGCCCTCGCAGGGCCTTCTCGGGGAGGCCTTGGAGGCGGCGGCGCGGGGCAGAAATGCCCATGGAAAGGGGCTCCCATGAGGCCACCAAATTGACAGCACAAAGACCAACTTAGCGCGATTCCCTTAGGGGACATATACGTCTTCCGCATCCAGGACGGCCCGAGACGCTTCCAAGGTCGCTCCGACATAGCCATTGGTTTGCAATAGAAAACTATTAGAACCATTGGTTTCCAGTAGAAAATGAAGTCAAACAAGTGGTTTCAATGGGCAATTATTTTAAACCATTGGTTTCCAATGGGAAACTAATTTAAATTATTGGTTTCCCGAATTAAAGCCATTGGTTGCCCAATAGAAAACCATTGGAAACCAATGTTTTCCAATGGACAACTAATGAAAACCATTGGTTTCCAATGGGGAAAATTGGAACCATAGGTTTCCCCAACTCAAACCATTGGTTTCCCAAGAGAAGCTAATTCAAACCATGTGTTTCCAATGGGAAGCTAATGAAAACCATTGGTTTCCAATGGGGAACTAATAGAAACAATTTGTTTCCAATGGGGAACTAATTTAAACAATTGGTTTCCAATGGAAAACTAATGAAGAACATGTGTTTCCAATGGAGAATTAATGCAAAACCATTGGTTTCCAATTGGAAACTAATTGAAACAATTGGTTGCCAATAGAGAACTAATAAAAACAATTGGTTTCAAATCGAAAATCTAATTAAAACCGTTGCCTCCCAGTGGAAAACGAGTGACAGCTATTGGTTTTCAATGGGGAACTATTTAAGGCAAATGGTTTCCAATCGACAATTTTTTTTTTTTTAAAAAAAAAACCATTGGTTCCCAATGGAAAATGAATGCGCGCCGTTGGTTCCCAATGGGAAACTAATTAAAACCGTTGGCCCCGAATGGGGAACTAATTTAAACCACAGGTGTTCAATGGGAAACAAAGCCAAACCGTTGGTTTTCAATCGGAAAAAAATGAGAACAATTGGTTTTCAATTGAAAAATAGTGAAAACAATTGGTTTCCAATAGAGAACCAATAACAACAATTAGTTTCCAATGGAGAACTAATTTAAACAATTGGTTTCCAATGGAAAACAAAAAACCCAAACCCAAACCCAAGCCCAAATCCAAGCCCAACCCAAACCCAAACCTAAACCCAAACCCGAACCCAAACCCAAACCTCACCGGCCATAACTCAGGTGTGACCCCAGTAGTAGTAGTAGTAGTAGTAGTAGTAGTAGTAGTAGTAGTAGTAGTAGTAGTAGTAGTCGTAGTAGTCGTAGTAGTCGTAGTAGTAGTAGTAGTG